ACAATAAATCAGAAAGTAAAGCATAGTCTCCAAAGAGGCAACAATACAGACAATTGGAGACACCCAAGAATGCAGTAAATAGCGCAATAAATCAGAAAACTTACAACACAAGTAGTTTCCTTGAAAAATTGAGTCTACCAAAATGGGCTTAAAGAGAAACCTAGAACCAAGGACATGGTCAGAACCAGTCAGTTCTCCAGCACGTGGGCCCAGGACTCAGGCTCAGACTGGCTGCCTTGAGGGCGAGTCCTCTACTCCTGGGCCATCCGGATAACCGTAGACAAAGCTCCTAAGGGTAATCTGTTGAACTCTGCTGTAGCTGGGACTTGAGGGAAGGGGGACCTAGATTCATTTTCTGTCCTGTGACATAACACCCTGACAAACTCAGAGGAAAACAGGTTTAAGTAAACTTACAAGTCCAGGGTACAGTCATCACTGTGGGGAAATGAAGGCAGGAACTTAAAATAGCTAATCAATGTCCAAAGTCAAGAGCATAGAGAGAATGAATGCATAAATGCCTCTAATACTTAGCTCAAGTTTTCTATATAATCCAGGACCCAAACCCAAAGAATGGTGTCACCCACAGTGAGCTGGCTCCTCCCACATCAAATGAAACAAGATAATCCCCAGACACACCCACAGGCCAGCCTGATGTAAGATGATCTCTCTATCACATTAACAGAATTGTGTATGTGTGTATGTGTATACGTGTGCACACGTGGTGTAGAGGTCAGATTGGAAATATAGCAAGGGCAGCACGCGAAAGTCATCAATATAATTAATTTGAAAAGGTTGAAATAGAAGTGACTTTCAATGGATTATATAAGGAGGCAGAGGCAGGTGGATCTCTACGAGTCTGAGGCTGGCCTGGTCTACATAGTGAGACTCAGTCTCAAAAAAGAGCAGAGCAGAGTACACAGTGGATCTATGGATGGGGCTCTAGAGAGGATCTGGCTTGTAGACTCACATTTGTGAGTTGCCAATATTCAAATGATAAAGCCACAGGTTTGGCTCAAATAATCTGGAGAGACAGTCCATTGGTTCTGAAAATTTGGTCAGCAGACCAGCACCCTAAGTAGTATCTGGAAATCTAACAGAAATGCACGTTTTCAGGTTCCACCCTAAACTTAGTAAATCAGAATCCAGACTGGGCCTGCAATCAATGTGCCTACAACCAAGAGACTGTGAGAAGTTAAAAAGCGTGAGCCTTGTTGTAAAAATTCCAACATTTCCCAGGTGTGATGGTGTACAACTTTAATCCCAGCACATGGGAGGCAGAGGCATCATGTGAGTTTAAAGCCAGCTCAGTCTACATATCAAATTCCAGGACAGCCAGCTACACAGAGAGATCTCGTCTCAAAAGGGAGAAAAGAAAACAAAACAAAAACCAAACAAAACCAAAAACAATATGAGGAACAAGAAATTAATATGCTTAAATAATCAATCCACCACAGATATGACTTGCCCACGGGCCAGCCTGATCTAGATAATCCCAGGTGATTCTAGACTGTGTCAATAAGAAGAATTCAGAAGTGACTCAGAGTACACCTTTAATTCCAGCACTCTAGAGGCAGGCAGATCTTTCTGAGTTTGAGGCCAGCCTGGTCTACAGAGCAAATTCTAGGACAGCCAGGACTACACAGAAAAATCCTGCCCCCTCCCCCAAAAAAAAGAGTGACTGAGAGGCAAGTGTGAACACTAACGAATCTAGTGGTGCCAGCTTCAGGTGCTGGAGTAGGCTGAGGGGTGAGCAGAAATAGTCTGAGCAGTTAGCCAGAGGATGGAGGGGGCGTGGCTACAGCAAAGGGAGAAACACGCAAGGACTGGCTGGAAGGGCGGTGCCTGCAGAGGCACAAGAGAAGCTCAGCTGCTGGTCTCAGCAGGAGCAGAATTTTATTACTGACAGTCAAAACTGCTCCACATGGTGGTCAGAAGAAGCAAGCAGGCCCATTTTCCTCGGTATTACTGCCTTTTAATGTCTCTTCTTTAAATTATTTTGTGTGTGTGTGTTTGTGTGTGTGTGTGTGTGTGTGTGTGTAGAGGTCTTTGGCCTGCTTGTATGTTTGCATACCATGTTCATTCAGAGGCCAGAAGAGTGTTGGATCCCCTGGAAGTGGAGTCACAGACCACTGTTAATGGTCACGTGGGTGCTGGGAATTGAACCTGAGTCCTGTGGAAGAGCCTCCACTTAATTACTGAGCCATCTCTCCCCCACTGTGTGGACTCCGTGTGCACCAGTCACAATGCCTTATCCAGGGTGACAAGGACACACACTCCCCCAGCTTCAGAAAGGGAGGAAGGAATATTTGGAATCCAAAGCACAGCCCTTCTACCTGGACAGATAGCCTTGTTAGGCAAAATGGAGGACTAAGAATGGGTGGGCCAGACGTAGGAAACAGAAATCTCTTGTCAGGAAGCTAACAGAGGTGTAAGGGAATGGGGGCCATCTGCAAGAGCAAGTCTCTGAAAGATGTGTGCACACTCCCGGTGTACTGCAGATAAAAACCTCACCAAGTAATCACCTACTTAGGATTGGGCTCTGCACAGAGGTCTGCCCATAGGGCACTACAGAGTTCTCACTGTGAATTCATATACTGGTTTCACACTGTGACTCAGGATCCCCTCTGTGTTGCTGGTTTACAGCAAATGTGAAGGAATCTAGACCCCTGCTCTCAAGCCTGCACGCCAAGCACTCTGTCCACTGAGCCGTTCCTCAGCCTCTCTTTCCATGTCTCTGGGCTTTCCGAGGACAGGCGAGGTTCTCGGCTAAGCAGCAGTCACGTAACACTTCCACCTTCCACTCATCAGATGCCATAGCAAACACCGACTTTTCCTTAGCTGTCACTGATTGATTTCCACCTCTCTTCTCTCAATTTATTTCCACGCCCATCTGTTCATAAGGTATTTTAAAATTGACTAGAGTTTTATAGGAAGGGACCATCGGCCTCTGTGTCTGTACATTCCACATCCATGAAGTCAACTAGCCTTGGACTGCAAATATTTTGGGGAAGAGGCTGTCCGTGCAGACTTTCCCTCCTGCCATCACTGTCTAAGCAACACAGTGTAGCAGCGATTTAGCCAGCATTCACATCATGGTCGGCATCAGAAGTGAGCGAGAAATAATTTAAAACACGGCAAGATGTGCACAGATTACAGTCAAACACAAACAGAATATGCCATTGTCCGGGAGAACCTTAGCATATGCAGATTTTAGTAACTAATGGGATCCTAGAGCCAGCCCCCTGCAGATACTGTGGGACAATGAAGGAAATCCTTGTTTATTATTCATTCAACAAATATTCACAGACTCTAACCATATACTACATTTAGTTGACAACCATGGGAGATACAAAACTTCATGGCATTTATAACTGAGCCATTAGCTTTACAAAGAACAAACTTACAGAAACCAATTTTGATTATAAAGGGAAACTAAAAATAAAAATGTTTTTTAGTAAGTTATGATTAAAGTGGCACGTAGCTATCAAAAGAAATGCCAGAGTACAAGTGACTTTAAGCTGGGTGTGGCGGTACACACCTTTAGTCCTAGCATTTAGGAGGCAGAGACAGCAGGTCTCTAGGCGGCCAGACTGCTGGCCTACACATTGAGTTCAGGCCAGCCAAGGCTACTTAATGAAACCTTGTCTTAAAAAAAAAATAAAAACCTCTTGGGGCTGGAGGCTCTGGGGCTAAGAGATCATGTTGATCTTGTGCACCTACAGAGGACCTGGGTCTGATTTCCAGCACCGATATGGCGGTTCACAAGGGTTTGTAACTCGGGGATCTGAAGTCCTCTTCTGATATCTGTGGGCACGAGGCACACTTGATGGTACACATACACTCAGGCATGAAAACATTCATATACATAAAATAACTAAATGTAAGTAAATCATTTTTAAAAATAAAATTATAACCCTATAGTGGGCTGGTATGATGGCTCCCCAAGCAAAAGTACTTGCCACCAAAACTGAAAACCCGGGGCTGGAGAGATGGCTCAGTGGTTAAGAGCATTGCCTGCTCTTCCAAGGGTCCTGAGTTCAATTCCCAGCAACCACATGGTGGCTCACAACCATCTGTAATGAGGTCTGGTGCCCTCTTCTGGCCTGCAGACATACACGCAGAAAGAATATTGTATACATAATAAATAAATAAATATTTAAGAAAAAAAAAAAAGACAAAACTGAAAACCCGAGTTCAGTCCTCAGGACGGAGGGCACCAACTCCCACAACTGTTCTCTGGCCACCATATACAGTCGTATGTCCCACACCTCGGAGGCAGGGAAGAGCAACTGGAGCTAAGCACAAAGGGCACTCTGGACTTCCACACATATAAGAAACTTGGCAATTTCTTCACATAAGTAGTAGTATCTAGGATGTAGATTGACTCTCAGGCATTTGGGGGTCCTGACTCTACATCTTCCTGCCTCCCAGCATCGGCACACCCTATAACAGGCATCTGTCTTCTCTCCCTCCTTGCTCTCCTTCTTTCTCTCTATCACTGCTAAAATTGTCATATGCTCAAGTTGCATATATATAAAATGCGGTTCTCCACAGCCTGAAATTTTCCATCTTTCACACACTACTACCCAAGCTCTAAGTAAATTATGTAGTGACCTCAGGTATCTTTAAAATGCCCAGCAGAGGGGCTGGAGAGATGGCTCAGTGGTTAAGAGCACTGCCTGATCTTCCAGAGGTTCTGAGTTCGGTTCCCAGCCACCACATGGTAACTCACAACCATCCATAACGAAATCTGGTGCCCTCTTCTAGCCTGCAGGCAGAACACCGTATACACAATAAATAAATAAATAAATAAATAAATAAATAAATAAATAAATAAATAGTTTTTATTTTTAAAAAAATGCCCAGCTGAGACTCTTTTCCTCTTATTTTGCCTGTTTCTCTTCCCTTAAGAGAAGGCGGAGGCGGGACAAACAAATGACATGTCTACTAAGACAGTATTTCTTTAGTGTAAGAACACTTAAAGATTTCTCATCCCATACCTTGGATCTGTGGGCTGTAAGGAGACAGAAGTTTGGACCTCTTCTTTTCATATCCTTTCTGTGTGATATCCCCTAAAATAGCAAGAAACAGAAATAGGTTATGCATTATCCTTATTTTGTGGTTAATCACTGTAAAAAAATAATAATTACAGTGTTACAGAAGTACCACATATAGAATAGAGTATTTAAATTGGTTTGTTTGACAAGACTTTGTAAAGTGTGGTTTCCCACAGACTTGTCCCTCATCAGCCTTGCACAGAAACTCGCTACATACAGCAACAGAGACTCCTTGGCATCCCTCAGCATCCTCACCTCCTTGGTATTTAAGATGCTCCAAAAATGGAATGGCACGCGATACCTGATCTGTGAAAGCGACTTTCCAAGGCCCTTTTGCTAACACCCGGGTCGGAACCTGAGGCTGGAGCTGCCACACCCTCTCCTTGATTCACTCGCCTGTATCATTCACGGCTGTTCCTCACAACAAAGTGAAGTGCACACACAGACAATCCACTGAGCTGCCCGCACGCCAAGAAGCAGGTGGATGGGCAGTGAGCAGGCTGAGTAGAAGAGGAACCTCACAGGCCCAAAAGGCCTTCAAGAGAAGAAAAATGCTTCAGAGCTGTGGCAAGAAACGCAGGTAGTGAAATACACACAGCACAAGAGCATTTTTCTAAAAAATAAATAAATAAATAAATAATGAAATTTTTTGAGCAGAGAAAGGTTTATATAAAATAAAGTTTTATATAAAACTCAATGCATAAAAACAGAAAAAGGGGGCTGGAGAGATGGCTCAGCGGTTAAGAGCATTGTCTGCTCTTCCAAAGGTCCTGAGTTCAATTCCCAGCAACCACATGGTGGCTCACAACCATCTGTAATGAGGTCTGGTGCCCTCTTCTGGCCTGCAGGCATACACACAGACAGAACATTGTATACATAATAAATAAATAAATATTTTAAAAAAATAAAAAATAAAAAAAAAACAGAAAAAGGTTTTAAGTAGCATAAAAGATAATTTAAGCATATAATTTTCCAGTATTTTGGTTTTGGTTTTTCAAGACAGGGTTTCTCTGTGTAGCAGTCCTGGCTGTCATGGAACTCACTCTGTAGACCAAGCTGGTCTCAAAATCCCATATGCCACCATCTCCTGGCCAGTTTTTTTCCCTTACAGACTTACTTACTCACTTACTTTGTGTGTGTGTGTGTGTGTGTGTGTGTGTGTGTGTGTGTGTGTGTGTGTAGAAGCCAGGAGGCTGTCGGATCCCAAAGGTTCTGGGCATTCACAGGAATGGGTACCAGGATCTGAACCCCAGTCCTCATGTTGCATAGCAAGTACTCCTAACCACAAAGCAATCTCTCTAACCCCTGCATGTGCAATTTTGAGACAGAAGCTTGCTATATAACATGGGTTAGTTGCAAAGTCACAATCTTCCAGTCTCAGCCCCAGTGCTGAGACTGCACCACCATACCTGACTCTAAGCACTCACGTTGGTAACATTTACTATTTATATGCCAACAGCTAGGGGAGAATCTGACAATAGAAAGCTGAAATCCAGGGTGATACATGTCTGCTGCAGCTGGCTAGCTTCAGCTACCATACCAGACAAATGCAGACTGCAGGAAGCACAGTGAAGACAGACAGCAAGGACAGGCAGTCTTGAGGTACCAGCCTGCTGCAGAGACACAAGTAGGAAAAGAAAAAATGAACGAAAGAGACTGTGAGCATGAACCAAGAGAGAGGAGGAAGACTGGGTTAGACTCCTTGACTGGTCATGGCTTGAGATGAAAGATAGTGCTACCTGCTGATAGGGAAATAGATGAGCTATGTTACTGATGGGATAAAGACACAAGAGATGAACTGTGTATGGATCTGTGGAACACATGGAGATGCCCCATCAACAGTGGGGGGCATATAGACCTAGAACTCAAAACCATATGAATTTGGAATCATCAGGATACTGATAAAAATAAGTTACATTATCTAAATTATCTAACAACTTCTATAAAAATTCTGATTTAACAACTTCACTTCTATGAATGTACCCAATATTATATTTACAATATTGTATTTATATGTGTACAAACAAAAAAAACAGTGAAAGAATGCCCCATTCTTGTGATGAGAATATTTACAATACTGTATTTATATGTGTACAAACAAAAAAACAGTGAAAGAATGCCCCATTCTTGTGATGAGAATCCTGGAAACAAGCCAGGTGCTTACCAGTGACTTTAAGTTAGCAACAGTGAGGTCCTGAAGTGGAGTGGGGGCGTGTGGCAAATGTCTAGGAACATTTTTGTCTCAGATGGAGAATGAGAGGTTGTGAGCACAAAGTGTAAGTGTGTGTGTGTGTGTGTGTGTGTGTGTGTGTGTACTCTGCAATGAACTGGACGCCACACAACACAGACCATCTAGCACAAATAGCAACAACGCTGAGGCTAAAAGGCCCTGATCTAGGGAAGACATAGGTATTCTAAACACAGTGGGAAAGAACAATGTCTAAAATTTGTTCCATGCAAACAGCAATAGCAGAACAGCAGGAACATGTGACCTAGTCTTATAAAACACAGACCTAGGCACATCTGCACACAGAGACATGTAAATCTAGAAGATCCGGAACCAAGTGAGTTCCTCTTACAGAGTGGACCTAAGGAAAAGCTTTACTTCATTCACTCACTCTGACCAAGTTTGATTTTGACAAAATAGGCTTGATTTATACTATCTTATTTTTCCCAATAAGCCAGATAGAGTGATGCACACCTATCATCTAAGCACTTGGGAGGCAGAGGGAAAGGATTCCTGCAAGGTCAAAGCCAGCCTGGTCTAAGTTCTAAGCTGGCAAGGGCTACACATTAAGTTCCTATCTCAAAAACAAACAAAACTTTTTTTCCATTAAGAAAGAATGAGGGAGGCTGGAAAGATGGCTCAATGGTTAAGTTCTCTACTCCTGTAGATAATTGTAGAGTTCTCAAAACCCACATACATGTAACTCCAACTCCAGGGGAATCCTACACTTCTGGCCTCTATGGGTATGTGTGCACATGTGTGCATATCACACAGACATGCATACAACATAATTTTTTTACAAGTCTATATATATTTGGTTTTTCAAGACAGGGTTTCTCTGTATCCTTGGAGTCTGTCCTAGAACTCACTCTGTAGACCAGACTGGCCTTAAATTCACAGAGCTCCTCCTGTCTCTGCCTCCCTAGTGCTGGGATTAAAGTCGTGCACCACCACTACCCGGCATTTATATATATTGGATTTTAGAGACAGGGTTTCTCCGTAGCTATTTTTTGGTTCCTGTCCTGGAACTTGTAGACCAGGCTGGCCTCGAACTCCCAGAGATCCGCCTGCCTCTGCCTCCCAAGTGCTGGGATTAAAGGCGTGCGCCACCACCACCTGGCTTTATTTATATTTTTGAAGACAGAGTGAGGACTAGTGAGATGGCTCCATGGATGAAAGCACTTGCTGCCAAACTGGATGACCCCAGTTCAATCCCTGCTACTCACAGGGAGGAGAGAACAAACACCCACAAGTTGCTCTCTGACATGCACATGTGAGCCCACACATACACACTCACATTACTAAAAGAAACAATCATACATGTATATTTGCTAGCATAAGACATCCAAATTAAATAATGGGGAAAGAACAAGACGTACCACACTTTGTACAGTGCATTTAAAATGTGACTTTTTCTTCTGTATTTATCTCTTCATCTTTGCAGAGCTGCGCTGGACCCCAGGACCTCATTCACGATAGCTAGTTCTCTGCCTCGACTAATGCATCAGTTTAGTTTCCTAATACTCTACAAAACCCACTATTTTCAGGAAATTTTAAATTTTCATTTGGATTACATACTGTACAAACTAAATCACAAGATTCATCTGCTTCTCTAACCCTTCTCTAATAAAATAGTAAAAATCAAAACTCTTCCCATAGGCCAATTCAAGAATTCGGGTAATCTCCAAGAATATGCACAATGAACAGAGGAAGAGGACTCTACTGCACAGGAAACCTTCACTGCAAACAGAAAGCTGATTTCCACTGTAAAGGACAGAGCACTCAGCTCCTGTCCACTCACAAACTCCTCCCTAGGGCCAATACTGCTAGTGAAAGGCCTCTCAAGGGCTTTCTTCGGTGCGCACGGTCTCCATCACTCATTGTCAGTATGTCTCAGGTTCTCAAGAAAGTCAATTAGAGAGTCTAACTCTGCCATGCCAATTAGCTGGGTTAGATTCAGAACTGAGCACAGACATTAAGGAGACCAGGAAGAAACATGAGAGCCACAGGAATGTGGGGACTCGGATGTGGGCTCCTAAAAATCTCTTTCTGACAGTAAAGTTCTCTACCATGGGCTCCTCCAAGACGTGTCTTCTCCATTGTTTGCCATTCCTCCTAGGGCTCCTCTCCCGTAACTCTGAGCACACTCAGTGGGAACACTTAGCACACCACTGGTATTTTAATCATCTATTTACACCTCTGGCTCCTGACTACACTGTGCACTTGAGGGCAGGGACTGTTTTGTTCAACTCAGTGGCCCGCCCACATCCTGGTACAATACACACTTGTCGAAGGGGAGACTGGACAATTGGTAAAATGGAAGCAGTAAGGAACAGTAAATCAATGAGACAGGTGTAGCTGGGTGAAAACTGGAATGGAAAAAAGTCTTTACTTCAGCAGGAGCTGACAGGCCTCGGGAAAGGACCCTAAAGAAGGTTACTGGTATTTGACAGCAGACCTTAAGGGTGATCAGAACAAAGGGCAGGGCATGGCGACCATGGCTGTAATCCCAGCACAGGGAGGCAGAAGCAGGCGGAGGTCTGTGAGTTTGAGGTCAGCCTGGTCCATCCAAGTGAAATCTTGTCTCAAAAAACCAAACAATAAAAGTGTCCAGAAGAGCACTTGCAGGACCTGGAGAGGAAGGAACAGAAGCACACCCCAGAGCCTCAAAGCCAGAGGAAGTCATGCAGACACAGATGCACGCCCTGCTCCATCATGTCTGCCGTTCCCTGTCTGCGTCACAGCCACCAGGACTCAGAACTCAGAAGTCATCCTCAGCCCTGCAAGG